TATCTCTTTCTGTTTGTTTCTGAAGTGTTTCTTCTCTAATATTCTCTGCATTTCCTCATTTGGGTCTTTAAACTTCGAATTTATATACTCATTTATAGCATTGTACTTCAAAACTCTTCTTTGGTACTTCTTTATCCAATCTAACAACTCAGTATCCTTTATACATACTAACTTAGACTTCTTTATAATATCTTTGAACGAATTGACGGTTTGATCGAATTGACCAGATGTCGAACAAATAACAACTAACTCATAGAATGGGTTCTTCTCATCTAGTTCTTGTTGTTGTGCAGCCATTTTAAGATAAGTGAAAGTCTTACCCGACCCAGGTGGTGCAATTAGACCTGTTATACCATTCTGAGCAAATAAGAACTTTTCATGTATGGGTTTTATCTGAGCATTTTCCAACTTCCTCTTGTTCTTGTTTAAAACATTCTCAAATTTCTTGTCAATGTCAGCAAACTTTTTTTCTAACATATTTTTAGAAAAATTAAAATTTTTATCTTTTTGAAAATGTCTAGCGATTTCGCTATCTATATTCGAGACAAACTTTTCGACAGCAAAACATCTGTCGACCATAAAATCTTACATAGTGTAAACAAGAAAGGTGAATTTGTTCTAAAGTTCTGTTTCTGGGAATATGACAAGAACCATAAAACATTAAGCAGAGCAGTCTTAAAATTTGTCAATGACAGACTTGTTGACAGAGATGACGCCGATTGGAAAGATGAAGTCCAACAAAAATTCTTAGAATGCAAAGAAGACACATGCGCTGTTCTTGAAGATGAAATAGAAAACAGAATAGAAGAGCTATTAAAGGACAAAGAACTTTTACATAAATATGGTTCTGAGAAATTTGACATAACTCCACCAGAAAAGAAGAAGAAGAGAGAAAAGAAAGAAAAGAAAGAAAAGAAAGTAGAAGAGAAGAAAGAACCTGAACCAGTTCCAGAGAAAAAGAAATTTGACATGTAAAAATAAAATTTTATTTTTAGAACATTTCTGGGTCAATGTCAATGTTCTCTTCCTCTTTAGGAGCAAACACTGGCTTAGACTCTAAAATCTTTTTACCTAATTTACCTTGAACTTCAACTATCTTAGACTCATAATATTCATAGTCGTCTGCTTTCTTTGGTTCATAAGGTATAACAAGTTTGTATGCTTTGCCTTCTTCGAGTTTTGAGAACCTTCTGTCAAAATTTTCTTTGACTGCTAACAAACCTTCTATGTCTAAGTCTTCAAATTTCGCACCATTTTTAGTCACAATAGCAAACTTAACTGGTTCGATGTTCCAAACTTTGCTGAATGAAGACTTTTCAAAATGGTAGAAGTAAACATTCAAATAAGCGAATGGGTCTAGTTCTTCTTTGACTTCTGTCATGTACTTATTTACTGAGATGAATTTTGCCATCTTTTCTTCAGAATAAAAAAATATTTTTTTTTAAAAAACGTTTTAAAATGGTATGCCATATAGCTTCTTGAATTTGTTAAGAAGTATTTTAACGTATTTTCCATCTGTATCTCTAGTGTTTACATAAGCATAGCCATCCTTAGTAAAACATACTTGTAATTTCCTATAGTTTACGCCGGTATAAAAGTAGAAAGAGTCTTGTTCTTCGCTATAGTAGTAAAACTCAAACGTATGCTTGCCATAGTCTGTAATTTCAATTGCTTCATCTTCTAGTTCGTCGACAAATTCGAATACAATATCTCTAAATTTGCTTTTGTTCTTATTGTTTTCAGAACGAGTAACCCAACGTAAATTTTCAAGTCTATTGTCATTTCTTATACGGTTTATATGGTCTACAAAAGGTAGATTGTTAGGGTTCGGTATAAAATGAGTTGCAATGACAACATGTTTTAAATAGTGTTTTCCACCCATCTTCATCCTAGCATATCCTTTATTTTGCTCCCATTCGCTTAAAACTCTTTTTGTCTTTTTGTTTCTGACTTCAAATGACTCACAACAGTGAATTTCATATTTCTCATCTAACAAACAAGTTTTCCAACGGTCTTCTCCAACAAACTCAGCGTACATTTTTATAAAAATAAAAAAAAATATTTTTTTATTCTTGAGCTATTTGTTGCATTTGTTGTTCTTGAGCTATTTGTTGTTGAAGTTGTTCTTGTAATACAATACTTTCACCAGTTGCATCTTCCAATTCGAAACTTTCTGCCGTCATTGACAAATACATAGGACATAAAAGTTTTACAGGAACAAAGTTTGCGTCAACTAATGTCAACGTTATACTTGCCAAAGTGTTTGAGTTCACTAAGGTTGAAAATTCTGCATTCGAATGAACAATAGGCAAACCAGCAGAGAAAGTATTGTTTATACGCATAAGTATCTTTTGGTCATAGTAGTTTCTGTCGACATTCGAATAACACTTTGAACCTAAGTTTGAAACAATATATAAGATTGGTGTGCTTAATGTCAATGGAATAGACAAACCTTGTATGACACCTTTTCCTGTTATAGGAAACTGTTGGTAGTAAAAACCAGAAATAAGTTTTGTATTATAGCTCATATCGTTTATAGTAAACTCAGTCGGACATCCAAACATAATGAAACCTGCTCTAGTTGCAGCACATGTTACACCCGTACTTAAAGTATTAAATAAGTCAACAAAACCTGTTGGTGGTATATCTGAGTAAGTATCTTCAAAGGAGTATTTTTTACCATTCACAACAATAAAGTCTTCTGGTGTCAAAAGAGCAAAACAGGCTTTAGTCGTCATTGTGTTTAAGGTTAGTTTACAATATCGTCCTTGAGGACTTTGTAAGTTTGTTGTTATAGAATTATATGACTCAGGGTTTTTAGTCGTAATAGTATAAACCACTATGTCTTCTGCCATTTACTTAGCAACTAAATTTTAATGAAATGTTGTGGTCGTCAAATATTTTTATAACGTCTGGGAAACTATATTTTAAGTTCAACGTTTCACCTCCTTTCATAACGTATATCTTGTCAATGACATTATATGAAACACCACAGCAAGCAATGTCGGGTTCTATTTCTTTGATGTTTATATCGTCTGCCTCTGTCAAAAGTTTCAATAGTTCTTTCAAAACTTCATGAGGTGCAATGACATATGAGTTCACTTTTACAGGGTTGTGTTCGACCAAGTTTAACATTATACCTAAAGCTTGACAAATCTTCTCCTGAGTTTGAAGTTTGTCTTTCAGTTTTGTAGTCGTTTCGAATATCTGCAACAGAACTTAAGTCTCTGCTAACTTCAGGATATGTTGGTTGTTCTTTTACAGGAACTATTGTTATACCATTTGTCTTCGTATGGTTTCCCCACTTCAACATCTCTGTCTTTGACATTGACAACAACACTTTGACTGTTTGTTTGAGTTGGTGAATTTAACTTCACATCTGCCACCGCCATTAAACCTTTTGAAACACTCACGCTTCTATTTTTCGGAAATGACATTTTACTTAGAATAAAAAGATGGACGTATTTGAGTATCTCTTCGAATTGAAGCAAAACAAAGTTTACACCACAAACAATACAAATACATTGACAGAATAGTTCTTTATACAAAACAATGGTAAATGTTATAGAATAGCAGTCTTTGCTGAACCAAAATATTTTCATAAAGCAAAGAAAGTTGGTATAACCGAGATGGTGAAAGTTCTTGAAGCAGACAAAAATATAACAACAAAACTGACCGATATTTCTAAAGGTAAGTTTATAATACAATATTATATCAAAACTGGCGTACTGTCAATATTTGACGGAGAGAAGTCAGTTCAAGAACAACTTACTGACCTGCTGCCAAAATCTGCTCGATGGAAGCTGTCGTTATGCCAATCTGAGGAGCCCCAGCAGGTTTCATCGAACGAATCTTCAAAGAGCATCTTCCGTGAAAAGTGCTATTGGTTTTGTAAACTTCTTTGCTTTCAGTTCATCTGGACCGTCTCTGTCACCAGTATATTGTATTTGAACTGTACCAACAGTTGAAATACCACCCATAAAGTCTTCTGAGTCAGCAAATGGAATGCCAAGCCAAAAGTTTGAACGGTCTCCATTTGTATATTGAGTTTTTTGAGCTCCTGTATGGGTCCATACTTTCACATATGGCATAATAGAACTTTGCATTTCAGGGTTAATGGTTGTTGTGAAGTTGTTGTTAAAGTTCATAGCATCTAATGTCAAGTTGTATGACCTCATATCCTCAACTGTAGAATATTCTTCTCTTGGATAATATTTGCCATCTATGTTTATATGGTATTTAATACCAGGGTTGTAGAAGCAAGAATAGTCATTTATAGTTCGTCTAAACAGTACAAACATAGTATCTGCATGTTTCATTGCAGTTGTTAAAGCAATATCCGTTCTTGCACCTGGGTCAGCACTTTGGTTTCCAACTTCACCTGCAAAGTCTTTGACAGATATTTGGTGTATAGGGAACATAAGTGGAACTGCAATATATTTGGCAGCTAAAGCATTTGAAATATCTGGGTCCAACATATAGACTGCAAGTCTGCTTTCTATTCTCTTGCATTCAAACTTTTCGCATGTGAACTTAACTGGGTCCCAAGCAGTTCCAGCAGCATTGAAGTAGTAGTTTACTTCAGTGTTGAGGTTTGAGAAACCAAAGTCTAAGTCAACTTTGTCTTTGCAAAAGTCGGCGAATGACGTTTTATTTGTTCCCACTACTTCTGTAAGAGTGAATGGGTCTTGTGTTGGTGCAATGACTAAGTTATTTTTGCTTGGAGTAAGTTCAATAGAAATTTTTCCTGCCCAGTTTGGCAAGTATCTTAAAAACCTGAAGATGAGGAAAGATGACAAAGGAACTCTAAGTTTCAGTTTTACTTTAGTGACAGCATTTCCATCTGAACCAGAAAGGTTAACATAAACTCCTGGAACGTTAGGGTCAAGTCTTCTTATTTTCTCAATAGTTGCATACTGGTCTGTTTTGTTCTCTAGCTTGTGGTTGTACTGAGTTTCTCAAAGCGAACCATTCATAGTTTGCCCATGTTACTGTTTGAACTAAGTCAGAGTTAGAATATATCTTATATCCCATGAAAACTTCTGGAGCATATTGGTATCCGACATAGAAAATTCCATTGCAACCTTCTTGTCAGACAACTTGGCAGAAGGTTTTATTTCAATGTCTTGTTCCACGTATAAGAAAGAGTTGTCAATAGAAATTATATGAAACCTGTCGCAAGCAATATCTACTGTTGTTGAAGAACCTTCTCCAAACTCACCTACGTTTCCATAAGAAACAGCAGTTGTATATTCGTAAGTTCCAGGAACTATTTCTGACCTTCTAATGGCATTGTCGCATTCGTTATACCATTCGGAAACATTTCCATTCATAGCATCCAAAACTGTTGGCGTTATATTCTGAGCGGCGTACATTTCATATGAGTAAAAATATAGAATAGTTGGATTTATATGTCATAATAGAACCCACGTGGACCAAGCTTTACTTTCTTCCTGACTGAGTTTTTAACTCTTCTTTTTCTTCATTGCCCTCTGCTTGAAGTTGTTGCATCTTTGCATTATGTTCATCTAGTATGTTGCAAATTTCCCATGTCCTTTTTGCCTTTTGGCTCTGGTCGCCCATCTCAGGTAACCTATATCCTAGAAAGAGTTTGTCATAGTCTGTATTTGAGTCTTCGCGTATTGTTTGCATGACTCTTTCCTGAGTTTCCGGTTCAAGCTCTTCAAACAGTGCCTGTCCATATGGAATATGCTCGTTTCCAAATATATGTTTTGTAGCCATTCTGGTTTTCTTTCCATGTTACCAACTATATCTTTTGTGAATGGGAAAGCTTCTACCCAATCTTTCAGTCTTGCGTCGTTTATTTCTGTAGTTGGTTTTTATTTTGTCAAGGAACATGTTTTTCAATACTAACATTTCATTTGGTACTGTCCATTTGAGTTTTCTTAAATATTCATCCCTTCTCGGTTCATTGTCTGCAAAGTAAGTTTTTATGACATTTTGTAAACTTTCGTTTGCAAGGTCATGTACAATAGGTTCTCTTCCTTCTCTGTCCATAACTTTCTTTCTAAACTCTTCACCAAATATACCATCTCTATGGTTCTGTGTAGTTCTTTGAGATAAATGTTCTAGAACGTCAGGTGTTATATTTCCATCAGCCATGTTCATTTCATACTGGTCCAAAATATCTGCATGTTTCATATCTTTCAATGGCATTAAAGCCGCGCTTAAAATACCAGCTATATCTGGTTCACCATTGACTTCCATTGCGTCTACAACTTCTTGGAATTGAGGTTGTAAGTTTATGAACCACCTATCCGGGTTAGCTTTATGACCCCATCTCATTGTAGTTCCATCGTCTGCAGAAACAAAAGTAGGTTTGTTTCCATCTTGGTTAGGTTCTGAATGAACTTTAAACAATGTTTCATTTCTATATGTTTTCTTGAAATTTAACCTTTTATCTTCACCGAGTTCATCCGAAGATTGAACGTTAAATGCTCGTAAGTAAAAAGGGTTGTTGTATTTGTGTACATTTTTTTCAGTTCTTCCATTCTATGCTGAATATTTTCATCTGGTGTTGGAGTCTTTTGTATGTCGGCAAACATTTTTCGATATTCTTCTACTATGTCAGCCGAATCTTTCTTAGACTCTTGGAAAGATTCCATATTCACCTCATGCTCTTGTTGAGGGTCAAGATTTTCGGCTGTTCCAAATCTTCATCTAGTTCTGTGAAGTTAGTTTCCAAAGGAGTGACTTGTTCGTTTCCTTCAGGCTCTTCTAGCTGTTGTTGCTGAACTATTTCTTCCATGTCTGGTTGTATCTGAACTATTTCTTCCTGTGGAGTTTCTTGTACCTCATCTGCTGGCATTTCATTATTCCGAGACCGTTTTTAACAATTTCCCTATCTACGTCATCCGCATTCATAAGCTTTTGTTCTTTCGTTCCGTCTCTTTTTTTACGCGTTTCATGACGAAAGTTGAATTGTCATTTAGCTCTGACATCAAATATCTCGGAGTAAATTCATCCATGTCATTTGGATGATATGCTATTAAATCATATCCCTTAGCGAGCTTGTATTTTCCAGGTTTGAGATTATATCCGTTTTGGTGCTGAGCCATAAAGCTAAATAGGTTCGGGTCAGTATTTCCATCCTTGAACTTTCCAATAGCTTCTTTATATCTGTCACTAAAGTCAACAGTATCTGGGAAACCACACTCTTCTTTAAGCATTTTTAAGAATTCTTGGTTTCCTTGTTCTCTACTTCTTTTATGTCCTTGCTCTGTTTGTGGTTGTTGTTGTGCAGGGTTTTGAACTGTTGGTTGCTGTGCTGGTTGTTGTGTTGGTTGTTGTGCTGGTTGTGGAGGTGGTTGTTGTGCTGGTTGTTGTGCATGCCTGTGTCTGTGTCCATGTGACGATGTAAATGTTTTAGGTAGTCCTGGTGCAGGTGCTTCTCTTGGAGGGTTTGGTGGTATATAAGTTCCACTAGCTAGTATATAAGTTCCACCAGCTGGCACATATGTTCCATCTGCAGCGTAATGTCCTACCTGACTTTTCGTTCTTAAGAAAGCATTTACTAGGTCTGTTTTGGTCTGTTGTAACTCTTTTTCTTGACTTTCCACAACAGTTGCTCTAACGGCGTCATAGGCACTTTGAACTGCCTGTCTCGTTGCTGCATCTGTTATTTTCGTCATATTTTGTGCTACTTCTCTTAACTCTTTGTCGAAACCTTCAGACTTCAGTTTCTTTCCAGATGAGAAGTCGTTCACTAGTTTCACCTTACTATGAAGAGCTTCGAAGGCGTTCTTAAAGTCAGCATTCATTAAAGCTTCATTTGAACTGTCTTCATCCGCTTGTATTTTTGTCCTTATTGACCCTATAAGTTGGGCTGCTTTAGCGTTGGCTTGGGCATCTAACCAGTCATTATTAGCTTTTATATATTCTGCGCTTTTCATTGCCTTTTGCATGGCTGCGTCGTTATTTTTACTTTCTTGTGCTAATTTTCATACTGTACGGTTTGGTTTTGCAACTGTAAAAGTTTTTCTGCCTTTACATTTGCTTCAACTTCTTTTTTATACTCATCGCTATCCATATATGTCTTCAGGGCTTTTTGTTTTATCTCTTCATCTTTCAGTACTTTATATTGAGTAGTATGGTTTTTCAAATTTATGACATCTTGTTCCATTTTTGCTACTTCTGCTGCTTTTTCTGACACTTTTTTTGCATATTCCTCTGTACTTAGTTCTTTCAGTTGTTCTTCTTTCTTCTTTTTCTCTACGTTTAACTCATTGAGTTTCTTTGTGTGTCTGTCATATTCTAGTTTCTTTTCGTTTTCACTTATTTGTTTCTGTATGTCTATGTTTGACTTTTTGACATCTGTTATTTGATTTTTGAGTGAACTCAAATTCATTTGACTTTGAGGGTTATAAGCTGTTCCGTCTGCAGCTCCACCATAGCCTGCCATTTTCGCTAAAAGTGCCGCTCTTAAACCTCCACTCTGTGCACCAAGAACTCGGTTTAAGAGCATAGGGTTGCTTGACATTTGTTGCAACATAGTGGGGTCATTCATCATTTGTTGTTGCAACTGTTGTTGTGGTGTCAGTTTTACTATTGGATGTTTCAATGCTCTCTTCCTCTTACGTATATTCTTACGTAGCTTACGTGGCATTTTAAGTGAAGTTAAAAACATTTACGATGAAGAAGTTTCGACAAAACATTTACGAAGAAATCATGAGTTTTCTACCCTCTTGAATTTTCATGAAATTTACACCAAAAATATATTTTATGTTAGAATGTTAGATCTAACATGTTTTCTAACATGTTTTCTAACATCGTAGAAAACTCTTGAAAATCATGAAATTTACACCAAAAAATAATGTTTATGTTAGAATGTTAGATCTAACCTTCTACCCTAAATTATATTTTTGGGTCCTTTACGCTCATTACGAAGAAGTCTTGACAAAACATTTACGATGAAGAAGTTTCGACAAAACATTTACGAAGAAATCATGAGTTTTCTACGATGTTAGAAAACATGTTAGAAAACGTGTTAGATCTAACATTCTAACATAAACATTATTTTTGGGTCATTTACGCTCATTACGAAGAAGTCTTGACAAAACATTTACGTTCATGTTTGACAAAACATTTACGAAGAAGTCTTGACAAAACATTTACGATGAAGTCTTGACAAAACATTTACGATGAAATTCATGACAAAACATTTACGAAGAAGTCTTGACAAAACATTTACGATGAAATCATGAGTTTTCTACGATGTTAGAAAACATGTTAGAAAACGTGTTAGATCTAACATTCTAACATAAACATTATTTTTGGGTCATTTACGCTCATTACGAAGAAGTCTTGACAAAACATTTACGAAGAAGTCATGACAAAACATTTACGAAGAATCTTGACAAAACATTTACGATGAAATCATGACAAAACATTTACGATGAAATCATGACAAAACATTTACGATGAAATCATGACAAAAAAGTCAACGGCTGGTCGGCTGGGGTTCGGTCCTCCTCTTGGGTCTTGGGAAAAATTTCTTATGGGCTGGAAGCCCTCCGAATAAAAACTTCATTTATACTAAACATCTTCAGGGCTAGAAGGCATGAAGTGCCTGGAAGCCCCACTACCTTTTTTTTTTTTTTTTTTTTTTTTTACGAGGTCTCGAGTTTTCGTTCATTTTTTTTACTTTACAAAACTGTTTATTTTTCAGAATTTTTAAATTTGAAAAAATCCATTCTATATCAGATAAATAATATATTATTTTTCAATCAAAATATTTTGATTATCATCTCAAAAGTGTTCTCAAAACCTAGTTTTTCTTATTTTGGATAATCTTAATATTTATATTATTATAAACTAATTCAACACCATATGTTTTTGTATACTTTTACAAAAAAATTGACAGATTTGTGATACTTCCCCGACGATAGAATTGAATAGCTTACATTTTGACAGAACTTAATATGGAACAGTATGAAATTACGAAACTAAGCCACTCGCTTCGCTCGCGGTTGACAAAAAGAACAAATTCGAAAAATAATTGTATGAAATTACGAAACTAAGCCACTCGCTTCGCTCGCGGCTTAAGAAAAGAACAGATTCGAAAAAAGGTTGTATGAAATTACGAAACTAAGCCCCTCGCTTCGCTCGCGGCTGACGAAAAGAACAGATTTGAAAAAAGATTGTATGAAACTACGAAACTAAGCCGCGAGCGAAGCGAGCGGCTTAAGTAAACAACATATTTCAGATTATCGATACTAAAAATTTTTTTATTTTATTACATTTTTTTGCATTTTTTTTAAGGGTGCACACGAGAGGATCATGTAAACTTCAGAATTTAGAACCTTATTTTTAGGCATTATCTTGGCTACCTATTTAGGCTCGAAAAGCAAAAAAT